GTTCACTAGGAAATACTCTCGAAAGCGGATGGATTTGCGTTTTTTTTTTTCGGACTTTTGATGTAAACACTCATAAAACTATTCAAAAACCTTAATTGGTGTTAATATTTTCTGATTTGCGGGGACAGCGCTAACAGTCTTGAAATCCCTTGTGGCTTTAGAGTGTTGCTAAGTAGAGTTAGGGAAGAGCCAGCGTGTTGTAAGTGTCTTACGTGTGTGGTGTAAGGTGTTCATAAAGATAAATTAAAGGAATCAAAACACGTCTCACCTTATTTCCTGGAATAGTTAGACAGCACACACGACCATAGAAAGAGAAACAAACTACAGCTGAGTCCCATCACTGCGGTAAAGCATGCTATTAAACGGTAAACAACTTGTCAAAACTAAAACACTTTCTAATGCATTATCGTCTCAGATTACACTTTCGAAGCCCGCGATGCTTAATGCTCGCGGTCTACTTACATAGAGTGTCTTGAATTACCAAAGTTGGTTGCTTGACTTCGATTATTTCTTCTTCGGAAAAGTCAGATTCATCTTCCGTCTCGTTTTCGAGAATTCTGCTTGGTAAAGGATAGGTGTAGTACTTTTTAAGCGGCCTGTAGACTGAAAAAAAAACGATAACACTTGGGTTAACTCTCATGCCGTTTATAATCTTGCATTTAAAACATTTTCCTCAAATTCAAACGTAAACGTGCTCTTGCATTAATGTAGACAAAAGCGAGGAGACTAACGAAACATAAGCAATTCAATAATATCAAAAAAAATGAAGATTAACCGTTTTCTGATAGTCTATCAAACTGAGTAATCGAGTCGAGACACTGGGGAAACAATGAATTGTCTTCTTAAGGATTTTCTTTTGTTTTCCTTCTATTCTTTTAAAACCACAATATCAAAAGTGGCTTTTTTAAAAGTCTTTCTAATCTGAACGAAAATCTAGACAGGGTCGTGACAAGAATTATATACAGTACTTTGAAACTGCGAATCTCACTTGTGCCGAGTTCAAGACCAGTGAGATAATGAGCATGGATTATTTTGCAATTGAATTGGCACAACGTTCGACGATACTGGACTCAAGAAAAGCTACTATACCAAGCATAGCAAAACATCTGGTTTGATTTTGATCTTTGCCTTCTCAAGAGTCGTTTTTTACTCGAAAGTTTATCTTTGATACTCAAATTTACATATTCAGCTATGATACATGTCGAACATGTCAAAGTAAGGAAAACTGATCAATTCCAAATCTTTCGTTGCAAAAACTATTTATAAAACCACCTACGGTTATACGAGATATTTTTATTCTTACTATACTGAGAGGCGGTGTGTTATCCCACCGAGTGAATGGAAAGATAAGCCTGAAATGGAGAGATGAATAATTTTGCGATAAAGCTCTCAAGAAAGGAAAGTTTTAGAAGTTGAGTGTTCATTCAGCGGGTACTTCTTTCATCCATTACACAGGTGTATACGATAACATCTGACTGAATAACCAAGAAAGCCTGCTTAAAATCATACGCATATTTAGTATCCAAATGAAAGTTCGTCGATATCGAGTTTCTACAAAATAGGAAACTCAACAAGAAATCTCGTATCTAGTAAAAATCCAGTTTCGAAAGGTCTCGTGCGCCACATCATAGTACTCGGCAACATTGATTTATGGCGTCCCTTGTATACTAAGCGAACCGTTCTTGCAAAGTCAATAGATCATGCAAAAATACTAAATAAGTGGAATTGAATATCATGAACTCGTTGTACCCACCTCGGTCTGGCATCTTTGGTGTAAGGTTTCGATCGAGTTTGTTTTGGTTTTGCTGTTGTATCGATGGCTGTGATGCAGGTTTCATATCGTTACTCGTGTAGTGATCGTGACTTAGGAAGCAATYATAACAGAAAGGGCCGTGGGTACCTATATTGTGTCAAGGACTCATTCTCAAGACTGACACTCTAATGACGTCACGATTCATGATTTCATATTAAATGGTCCATCAAGGAAGTGGCCTCAATTTCGCAAACATTTTTAACACGATGATACAATTCGCTTCGAATTTCATATCAAGTAACTTAGTGGCAGTTTTAACTTTCGTATATCTTAGAAACAAAAACCTAGAATTATTACAGACGTTGCGCGCTCTTTCGCTTGGCTGATTTGGAAAATTACGCTTTGTGACTGAAATATCTTGCTTTTTGCACCATAGCTTTATGCAGCGTGAACTTGGCAGCTTTAATTAACGCTCGAATATTCCATCCATACACAACATCTATATTTGGTAAATACCCAGAGAATGGCTAGAGGTACAGAACCTGTGAACAGTTCTTTAATAATATAATAGCCAAGTGTCTACTATCACCTATACGTTCAATTTTACTATTAGTACCGAGAGGTGAAGCGGAACCATAGACGCGCTTTGTGTAACGAATCTGACAACAAGGATCTAAATATTTATGACGTCTTTCCACCTTTTCGTTTATTGATTGCTATTCGTGTCCATTTACAACACACTGCAGAAGCCTTGTCATTTATCATATCAAACCCGAGACCGCTGTAGTTAATGTGGTATCTACATTAGTCATCATTACATTTATATCAATATTATGAAATCGCACAAGCTAAACACGGTCACGAAACTCTGGTAGCATCACATATATAAACACCAACATGATATCATGCTGTATTTTGTACGAGAAGCCAAGACCGCAGCGGTATTGACTTATCAAAGATGAATACATTACTAAATCCAGTGTACAGTTTCCCTAATTCACCAGTGAGCAGGCTTTAGATATTCACTTATGTGACAA